CCTCAGGCAAACAAATCCTAACATAAATCAATTTCATGGCACTAGCTCCAAATCACGCGGCAAACGCAGCCTTTCGGCCCATGGGGTCGCAAGCACACAACTTGCCGCTTCCCGCGGAAGCATGCGGAAGCCCAGCCTGCTCCAGCGTCAATGCCCCCAGGGCGTCCTGGGGTAGCCAACCGTCTTTGAAAGAACAAAAGCGCAAAACTTTGGTTGTTTTACTTATGTCTCCCATGTGCACACGTATCCATATTAAATATAACTTCGATTCGTGGATAGTAGGACATTGGGCAGCAAACTGAGTGCTTGGTCAGTCAAGCGAAATAGATGTCACTAGGCAACCGGGTAAGAATGGATTAGATTTCGCTGGTTGGAAGGAGCAAGAACCACAGTTGCATGGCAATTTACTGTAAGATTCACTGTAAGGGTTTTGCCTCAAATGGTGTAAGGATTAGGAAGCGTTATGGAAGTTGTTTTGAGAGGGCCCTCACCAGACTGCAGAGCACGTGTTGTAGCGCAGCCTCATGTGACCCTTGCTGTCAAGGGGGAGTCCCAGTTGCCAAGTACCCCCGGCTGAAAAAGAAAAGGAACCCCATTTTGGTGTTTACCATCTTGGAAATCCGAACTCACCCAAGTCCCCCCCCAACCCAACCCTACAACCTCTAGAACTTCTAGAACCTCTAGAGCTTCTAGAACCCCCTAAAACCCTCTAGAACCACCCCCAACCCCCCCCCGGCCCGCCCAACCCCTCCCTCCACCCCCTCAAACCCATCCAGCCCTCGGTCCCACAGCTTCACCTCTCGGTGCGCCACCGTGGCACAAGCCCGCGCCATGGTGGCCAAACTCTGCGGCTCCGCGTCGCCTGGGCCAGGCGGCCATGGGACAACCCCCCCGCCCCACCTTTTGCACTTTGGACAGGGGTTGCACTTTGGTCTTATGAATAAAAAACAGGGTTCACATGAACACGTCACCAGTTTAACAATAATCATAGTATGTATACATATATATATATATATATTAAAACAAAAAAAACAACAAAAAAAAAAAACGACAGAGCCAACCACCACCGCAACCTGGTGCTCAGGGCATGAGGAATGGAATGAACCGGAACGGGATTCCCTTAGAGGAAGTAGAAGGGTCAATCATGAACACCTCACCATTTTAAAATCAAAACCAGGGGTTGGTTCTACAAAGTGACATCCGGTTTTGACCATGATTCGCCTTTGGTTGACAGAGATCTTATAAACGAAACAGGGTCCTTGTGGGGGCTGGGGAGGGAGGGAGGGGCGGGGGAGGGAGCCCAAATCAGGCCTTAAATAAGGACACAAATCTTACCAACGAAACAGGGCCAACATGAACATGTCAGCATTTTGATCAAAACCAAGGGATGTCAACACCAAGGCCAAGGGATTCACCGCGGCCAAAGCCAAGGGTCGATTCAAAGCTACATCCGGTTTTCACCACGGGGGCATCCCTTTCTGTGGTCTTCACCATCCCTTTCCTAGGCCTTGAAGTCTCAACTTTTGATTCAAAGTGACATGCCTTGGTTACCGTGAGTCGCCTAATGTTGACCCCGGATTAATAGGCCCCTGTTTATTCATTTGGGAGTGGGGGCCCCTCCAAAAGTGAGAAATCCCCACTAAAACCGGGGACACCCTATTAATAAACAGGGGTGTATTACTCCGGGGTCAACATTATACTCCGGCACTTCCCGCCCAATCTTCCACCATGCCTTTGGCACCGAGGAAGGCTGTGCCCAGCGCACCCAACAGCGGCACGCCCAACGCCTGGCTTTGGAGGCTGATCTGCGGGCCGAAGTGGGCCCAAAATGAATTCGGAGGTTGGATTTCCTTGGACTTGTTTGTTGGCTGGGAGCTTCTTATGTTGAGGCAGAACTCGCACATTTATGTGAACACACAGCACTTTTAGGTACTTTGCGGCCTCTGTCATTAAGTCTCATGGGAACATGTGCTGCTTGTTAGCCACGCTGCTTCATTAGATAGCAGCAATAATTGTGAGGTAAAGTGGTGCAACCAAGCAGTTCCCAACAGCATACCCAACTTTGTGCTAATTTCCCCGCTAACATGCATCTGCGGATGATAAAGGATAGATCTTGGCCTCCATCTGTACGGTTAACAATGTTGGCACAATCAGTCCAAGGTCGGAAAGTGTCCGAACATCAGTTGGCAAACCCGAACCCGGAAATGGCAATGGCCAACCCGGTGTTGGAATTCTGGCAGCTCTCCAAAGGAACACGTACTGCCAAACCCCAACCTGTGAAGCTGAAGTTGAGACGATCTCTTGACCTCCGGATCGTATCTCCGAAAGGAACGCAGGAAAGGAAACGGCTAGGCCGCGTGGCCCCTGCTTGCAAGGGTGGTTCCTTTCAGCCTCAAACACAATGAGCACTGTACAAAGAGCATCGGTGGACCGCACCGAAACTGGAAACAAACAGTCAAAAAGGTCAACCATGGCTGCCCCCGTGCCTGTAGTAAGTTTTACACTGGCTCTTTTGAGACACGTATTCGAACACATCCCTGTCCTGATCGCTGTTTCTGCTGTTCGCAGGCGCCCGCCCCGCGGTGCTTCCTGTATGTTGATTGGTAATATTGCCACTGCTTCATCTGTTCTTCCGCTTTTTCGATCCACTCGCGCTCATGCTGCGAATCTTGCTCTTAGAGCTGAGAGTTTTGCAGAGCTGCCTACATTTGCCTCCGGAAACTGCGCTCCAAGGAAAAGCTCACCTCAAGTTAGCCGAAACAAGTGTCCAGTTCTGCCCTGATTTTTTGCCATGATCAAAGTCACCCCCTAAGTGGTGGGTTACAGGGAAACAACAACATTTTTTGACTCTGATAACCCCCCGAAAGTCAAAATGATGACCCCAGCAATTTCGCGGTTCTGGACAGGGACTTTGGGCAGGCGCCTGAAGCCTTGCCAGCGCCCAAGCAGTATTGGCGGTGTGCCGCGGCCTTTTGTTGCTGGCATCCGACAATCCGCTACTCACCTGCGCTCGCCAGGCGAATTTGAAGCGACCCGAATGGGAGGAAATGAAAGGACTGGCTGGGGATGGGGTTCACCCATCTTTTGGGTAAGTCGGCCAAATACAAGGGGATGCCAAGTCCTTTGTGTTGGCTGTCTATTCTGCTAAGCAGCCACTAACTTCCGACTTCTCGGGATTGAGGGGACGAGGTGGGGTGGCTTCAGGAATGTCAGGGGGTGCGGGGCTGGGAATGCTGCTCATCTTTTGCAAGCATTTCGAAGGACTTGCATGCTCATTTGCTGATAGAGCAGGTAAAGACATGCTGGCACCATGCATGAGATGCATGTTTTGTAAACTGCGGTCGCAGCCCTCCATTAAAAAAGAAGAAGAAGAAGTATGTTTCTGGCCCTAAATCACCCTGTACATTGCTATATTGTCTGGTCTTGGCACCATGGTGCCACGAGGCTGGATTCTGAGAGGACAACCAAGTGAAGGGAAAGGAGCAAAGTGGGTGCCACTGGCCACAACTCGGGCAGCTGATTGGGTTGCGCTGATGAAGAGACAGGAAGCCTGCTAAGTTTCAATGCAGGCGCTGGACATGTGGCATCCTCAAACCCAGGAAACCTGTGGACCTAGGGAAGCTGATGTGCAGTTCCAGCTCTCAATTCGGCCCATCAAGGATTCGTACACTCAAGGCTGCCCAGGAAAAGACACCACTCGTCTCGGCCTGCACGCATTTAAGCTTGGACCAACCAACAGATTCTGGTTCCTCTCATGGATCCATGGCCCGCCTTTTGCAGCAAGGATCAGAGCCGGGCATCCTTGGCGTACAACGCCCCCCCGAGCTTGGCCACGCGGTGGAGGGCCGTGACCAGGTTCACAAAGTCGAAGCTCCGCACTTCGTCGCCCTCCAGAAGCTGCAAGATCTCCTCGGCACTCCTGCAAGCTCCCGCCCCAACCAGGACACTCAAGAGGAACAGCACCCAGCAAATGCTATGAAATCAAATATCCCGTTCTCCTGGTGAGTCCGGGAAGCTCTCCAGCAAGATGGGGATGAGCCAAAGAACTTGTATTAGGTCAAACGAATCCGTGGCTCGCTTTAGCTTTGAACCAAGAGTGGGACAGGCCCGGTGCAGTCAATGTTTGAGCGTTTTGGGGTTTGATGGGTGCGTGGGGTTGCTGTTCTGAGTTTGAGACTTGCAGACTCTCGGTGCCGAACTCCGGACGCTTTCCGTAGGAACCATTGTGATCCCTGTGGTCCAGGATGGATACCCGAGCCCAGGTTTCTTCATGCCGCTTCCGTCCATACCAACTCCCAACTGGGCCCACCCTTCCTACAGCGGACATGGAGAAAACGCCGGCTCTCAGCTCCTCTGCAGGATGCCGCTGTTCACCTGGCCCGAGCGGCTCAGCGCCGGGTTGTCCGGAGACCAGCTCTTCCCCGGCTGCCAGCTCTTCCCCGGGCGGCTGCCCTTGCGCCCGGCCATCACATTTGGCCCAGGTCAAACGAGTCGAGTCGAGTCGAGTGCGATGGGAAGGGCTTGAGCCGGGGAGCCTGCAGAATCACTGGACCTCGCGCCGTCTGACTGACCAACGACGACATCAGCTTGCCTGACTGGCTAACTCACGGGCGGGCTGGCTGGCTGGCTGACAAAATGCAAGTCTGATTCTGGGTTTGCAGGCCTCAAGCGCGATCCTTTCATGCTCTGCATTAGACTGGTCGGCCAGGAAAAGGGGTCCTATGCAACAATGCTCCATGACTTTCTGCTCTCTCAATGCGTGCAAGTGCTTGGTCCCTGGCTGGGAGAAACTGGTTGCGGCAACATTCAAGCAACCCGGCATCCGGCCACAAGCCATCCAACCTGCACGTGAGTTGTGGGCAATATTGCTTCTTGCCATGGCCAGTGGGTTGTCCACATGTCCTCCCCCTTACAGTGGACTCACATGCACCGAGACGCCCCCCCCCCCCCTCGGCCGCAAAACGCGGCCACTGGCCCCCTGGGAGCTGCGTCCAGGTGGCTCACTGATCTCCAGCTCAGCTGGGGCCGAAGGGACCGTGGGGCTTCCGTTGTGGGTGAAGTGCTGGTCCTGTCGCCACGGTGCGATCTGAACTTCCTTTTTGTTTTTTTGCGGGACTCCCACCCTGAAATAAATGGATAAATGAATAACTAAACAAATACTTAAATAAATAAATAAATTAACAAATAATAATAATAATAATAATAATGATAATAATAATAATAATAATAAAGGACAATGAAACAATAGTGAGTTTCATGTGATTTTCCCTTTCGCACCAACCCACCATGCCCGATGCAACACGTGGGTTGCACCCCCCGGGATAAAGCGGCCGGTGGGCGGTCCATGACGAACTCGCGGCGCGCCCAGAAGGCCGCCCCGGCCAGCTCTCGAAACTCCTGTGGGAGTACTTGAAACCCGTTTCGGGTGTCCCTGTTTTGGAGCTGCCCGGGTTTTGTTGGGTGGCTTTTTGTTAGGGAAACCAACAGGAAAACCACAATGTATCTCTTTCTTTGGCGGGGTCCCCAAGCAAAAGACACACCCAAATCAAATATGTATATATATATATATAAGTTTGAAATAATTGCAAAACAAGTGTGAACAAAGATGCTGAGTCATGCCGAGACAATGCTAAGAATGTCGAGGCCCATGGGCCCACGCAGCGCTGGACGACTGCGAGCCGGGCGCCACCGAGCGCTGCTTTCGGCGACTTTCGGAGCTGTCCCTCGTCTCCCTTCCGATCAAGTGGATTGGCCAAGAGGTCCCCTGTTCACCACCAAAATGGTCCAAAACCCAAACAATGACCCAAGTCCACAAACTTAGGGACTACACAAGAAGTGACTCCAGTCCATGAACTCGAGTCAAAAGTCTCCGTGGACAGCGAGTAACGTGAATGGAAACCACCCTAGGGCACCGTCCTGCATGGGCAGCTGCGCGATGTCTTCAAGCTCTGTCTCACTTCCTGGCCGGACTGACTTGGGGCGCTCCCTTACGGTGCGCGCCCTTAAGGTGCGCGGAAGCCCAGGAGGAAAACGGTGAGCTGATGCGTCAGCAAGAAAGAAGATGAGAACCCGTAGTTCTGCGGGGACCGTGTCCTTCCCAATTCCCACAAGGAGTCCTTTCAACACCTGCTGGCCCATTTCTTTTCCTGCTCATAGTCACCTAAAATAGGCTGAGTTTCAGGGAAGGGCCTTGGCTTCTGACGTGATTGTTTTTTTGTTTAAACTGTTTGTTTACCACCAAAACGGTCCAAACCCAAAATTTTGTAAGCAAACAGTCAACCCAACATGGTCCAACCAAAATGGTCCAAACCCAAACCCAAGCTTTTTGAAAAGTATAAAGTCAACCCCAAATGGTCCAACCAAAATGGTCCAATCCCAAACCCAAACTGATTGAAAAAGAATAAAGTCAACCCCAAATAAATCAACCAAAATAGTCCAAACCCAAACTTTTTGAAAACGTGAAAAGTCAATCCGAAATGGTCCAACCAAAATAGTCCAAACCCAAACCACAACTTTTAAAACAAGTATAAAGTCAACCCAACATGGTCCAACCAAAAAGGTCCAAACATTGAACAAGCATAAAGTCAACCCAAAATGGTCCAACCAAAATGGTCCAAACCCAAACCCGAACTTGTTGACAAAGTGTAAAGTCAACCCACAATGGTCCAACCAAAATAGTCCAAACCCAAACCCAAACTTGTCGAACAAGTACAAAGTCAACCCAAAATGGTCCAACCAGAATGGTCCAAACCAAACCCAAACCCAAATTTGTTGAAAAAGTATAAAGTCAACCCAAAATGGTCCAACCAAAATGGTCCAACCCCAAACCCAAACTTATTGAAAAGTACACAGTCAACCCAAACTGGTCCAACCAAAATGGTCCGAACCCAAAAAGTGACTAAAAGTCCATGAGCCCAGGGAGTGAGTCATGCGACTGCTCAGCCCACAAGGCCGAAGCGACTCTGACTCTCCGCCTGCGGCTGCCGCCCGCAGGAGCGCGCGCTGCCGCGCCGCGCCCGGTGCATCCCCGAAGCTGCCGCCCGGATCTGAACGCGGGGACGTCAAGGAGTCCATGGAAAGGTTGCCCCGGAACCCATGCCAAAGAAAACCATCAACCAAGTGCACACAGTTTCTGGTGGAATTGAACCCACGTGCGCATACGTCTTGGTGGTGGAATTGAATCTGCTTTCACAAACCGAGGGCTGTCACCTTCGACTGGGTGACACTTGTTCTCGGTCTTGCAACTATCGCAGAGATATCCATCTGTCAGCCTGTCACCCTGCCTATGCAAAACAAAGGCATTCCCATAGAGCTTTCATGTGCCCGATTTGCAGCTTTATCAAACATCAATTTCCCGCGTAAGTAAAGGAAGCAAGAAACGTGCTGGTTTCAGGTAGGTCTCAGCAAACAAATTACGCTGTTTGGCCGGGAAAGCAGCTCCTCGACAACACAGCCAAGAACTCTGCGTACTTTGGAAGATCCAGATGTATACGTAGAACTGTATGCGTATGCCTTTCTACAATCGTGTTCACGCAAAGCCCTCCCTCCCATCCTATTATTTTTCCAATGATTGCCTTCAAACTGTAGGCTGGTGCATCTGGGAGGGTATCCACTCCCAGCGAACAGCCTGGTGATGTTGACCGATTGCTGTCTTCCCAGAGGTGCGCCGCTCTGAGTTTGCCTGGCAGAAGATGGCAATCCATCAATAACTGCACAGGGTTGTGGCGGGCCGGGGAATCAGAAATTCTTCCCCATCTTGAGCCCAAAAAGGCAGTAAGATGTGGAATTCTGATATGAACCACCAGCCCACCAATGCATGAACACTCATTGTAAATTTCACACTGCGTGTTTCCCACTACAATCGTGTTCACGCAAAGCCCTCCCTCCCATCCAATTATTTTTCCAATGATTGCCTTCAAACTGTAGGCTGGTGCATCTGGGAGGGTATCCACTCCCAGCGAACAGCCTGGTGATGTTGACCGATTGCTGTCTTCCCAGAGGTGCGCCGCTCTGAGTTTGCCTGGCAGAAGATGGCAATCCATCAATAACTGCACTGGTCATTTCACAATGTTTGGAGGCATAGCATTGTTTATGCTTCGCTGTCTGAACTGGAATCCGTGCTCGAGCTGTCGCTCTGTGGCGGCCAGCACTTGTCACACCTTCTGGCATCCACAGAAGGGGGGGTTAAGCTACGGGTGAATTTTGCAAATCCGAATTTCCAACCACACTTGGTAGTCCAAGTCTCTGGGTGATGTCCTATTCCGTCAATCCCAACAATGTGCCAAGCGCGCGACGAATTATTGAAAATGAAGTCAGCCGGTCTGAGGTTCCAACGTTGCCTGACTTGAGTGATCTCCTCCTTAATCATGTGCTTAGTCCTCGCGTCAAGGGCTGTGAGGTCGTTCTCCAGTTTCGCAAGCCTTGGCTCCATGTCACAGGTGGACTGAGAAGCAGAAGGTGTGGTACGGAGTTCATCCATCTGTTTGCGGATCACATCCAGTTTGGATGAAAGGTCTGTTCCTTCCTTGGCTTGCTGAAGCTCTTGAGTGATTTTGGCCAATGGTGCAGATTGAGCATAGCGGATCAGCATCGGCGACTTCCAACGTGCCATGAGCTCGACCTGGTACAAGTGCATGCCTGATGAGGATAACAGTCTAGCACCCGTCAGCCTCATGCTGTGTCCTCCCAACATGCGAAAGCCACCATCGTCATAAATGGGAAGGTTCAATTTCAAGTGCACCTTCTCAAAAGTTTCAACCACTTTCACCTTGCCGACAGTGCCACCATGCCAGTCGGGGAAAAAGGGAAGCTCGCATTCTGGGATTGAATCGCCAAAAAGCTTGAAAAGAAACTTGCCTTGGAGGTCAGCACAATGGTAGGGGCATCCCGCAGCAGTATAAGTCTTACACAGGCAGCCCCAAGTTCGATCGACACTAGCAGCCGCTGGATCAGTCTTACTGCAAGGGAGTCGAATGGTGACGGAGAGGTTCTGTCGGTCAAGCTTGACATTGGCCAAAAGCAGCAAAGAGGCCTCAATTTCACGGAGCATGAAAAATGTTCCGATGACGATCATATTGTGAGCTCCGATTGGGCCGCCTTCCACAATCGGGATGTGGTCAATACTACATCCCTTTTGATGGCTGAGGATTCGGTCGAAGTCAAGCGGCGACCTCTGGGCAACAGGTCCGATGCCTCTGGATACGGATCTGGATGAGCGTCTTGCTTCCAGACTAACCTAGAGATCCGAAAGGCCTATCACGCAGGCCTTATGCGAAAAGGCTTACCATGTCGCACGGTGCGCGATAAGCCGTGCACGAGAGCTCACGAAGATAGGTTCGTGTGAAAACGCACTTGCCTGGCTTTGGAGGGTATATACGACATATATTGGAGCATGGGATTCGGGCCGCGCGACATGGGTCGGGGGTTGGGGGGACGAGCGAGCTGACTGCCTAAGTTGACACGCGGGGGCTGAAGCAAAAAATATGTGTATATATATATATGTGTATACTAACGCAGTGCGCCGAGCGGGGGGGGTCGGTGGATTTTTTTTTACAATCCCACGTGTGGGGCCAAAGAGTTGCGTGAAGGCATGCCTGCAATTTCGGCGGCCCATCTAGGCTCTATGGCTTGGTGTTAAGCGTTAAGTTGCGGCGCGTGAGCCGCATGGCATGAACCGTCACGAACCTACAGAAAGTCTATGATTCCGTTTGTGCATTTTGGTTTTCAACCGCGCTGCGCATGCTGCGCCTGGCGGTGGCTCGTGGCAGGCACGGCGCCACCGCAAAGCATGCCGCCAATAAATTTGCTTGAGCCAAATGCAGAAGTTATTAACTGTGCAGTTTCACGGGGTCTCGAAGCTGGGGTTCTTGCGCCATGCTTGCTGACATCAGCGCGCCTGCCACCGCGCAGCTGTTTGGTTTGAGGCGAGGGCGCTCAGCAATGGTCCGCGGAGTTGTGCCTGTGAAAAAGCCTAAGGGCGAAGTGGTGAAGAAACCAAAGCTCAGCAAGAACAAGAAGAAGAAAACGGGCAAACTCAAGACGCTGCCCGTTCCGACCACTGGCCTTCACCCGCGGTTCTCTTTAATGCTACTTCGATGACACCCCCCCAACCCCCCCCTTTTAGTGAACCAGAATTGATGGACATTTTTGAACCATCCATCAACGTCACCGAATTCCCACCGCATTTTTTTCAGCCAACTGGGTCTGATTTGCTGAGGGCGCCACCTTTAAGGGAAACCACGAGGAAAACCATCGTTTTAGGGGGTCCGAAAAAAAGAGAGAGAGATATATATATATATATAGATATATATATATATATATCTATATCCCAAACCCGTTTTCCAAATACTTCAAATGCCCCAGGCTCCACCTGCTCCACATGGCCGGCTTCCCAACTGCCCTGCTGGCTCTGTGTCAATGCGTTTTCAGCGGCATGACGAAGCCAACGGTTGCGCCCTGTTGGCAACACCAAGCGCACGACGCGCATCCAATGGTGAGGGTTTTTTTTAAACAAACCTGGTTTATGTGGACTCTTTTGGGTGGACTTGGAACGCCTGCAAACTGAAAATTGTCCAAGGACATCTTTTGCGTGGAGCTCTTTGCCGGAATCAAGACGGTTTGCGGCGGTTTCAAAGGGTGTGGCTACGACGCCACATCTTTTGAAGTGGCGGATTCCCCTTTTGAGAACATGTTGTCCGGCCTTGGATGCGCGTTTGCATGGGCCTTGGTGGCCCGTCTATACCATACTGTGGCTCGGCAAAACTTTGCTGGCGCGAGCTTGTGCGCCTTGCAAGTGAAACTTTCAATCTCACGCCGTGTTGCATCCTGCCTTCTGAGTCGGGACTGGCATGGTTTGCGCCAGTATGTTCATCGTGGGTCTGGGTAAACAGGCCGGATCAAAGGGGCACTTTGTTCTCAATATTTCCAATTCTTTGGGGTTCTGCCTGCGATCTGAAACCTGCCAGATCGACAAGCCAACGGTCTCGAGACTGTGCACTTGGTAACCGCGGCTCTGCCACGGTGAGAGCAGCGACTCTCGGCTGCAGGCTCAGACGTGGTCATCTCCTGCATGGGCGGTTTGTTTGGAGTCACAAAATGTTGATGGCCCGGATCTCGGGGCCATTTGTGGCGGACTGCAACCCTTTCTTTGGAACCCTTAGCTTCCCCAGACCAATGTGAACTTCATGACAGCCGCTAAGTGGGTCAAAAGTTGGGTGGGCAATTGGTGGCATGGTGGATGTGATCCTAGCTGCGCACGCGAAAACTTTGGCGGCCCTTGGCCGCAAAATGGCAACGATGGTTCCTGAAGGCGTCAAGGACCACGCAATCAACGTGGACCCGCCGGGCGAGCTTCTGCCGGGCCAGTGGCTGAATTCCAGCAACGTATTGCCAGCCAAAACGTTGCAACTTGCCGGCATGTTGATGCTCATCTGTGTCTAAGAAACGTTGTTTTGAAGGTACCGTCTCAGCTCATCCCTTCCAGCAAATGAGGCTTGACAATCGGTGGGTGCTCAAAGCCATCCTCTCGTTGGAGGTGTTCCGGCAGCGCAAGCCCTCGAAAGCAGAGCTAGAGATCACTTTGAAGGTCTTCAACAACGAGCACAAAGCCGCCAGCCAGCATTGCCATCAAACGGTGGGAAAACAAATCCAATCTCGCCCGACAAACTTTCTGAGATTAGTTTCCTAAATTCCTAAATGATACAAAAACCACGACAAACGCAAAAACACTCCACACGCCAGTCCTCACGCGCCCAGGGCTTGGCTCTCCGCGGCCACGGGGAGATCGAGTCTTGGCGCGACAGTGCGGGGAAGGGCAGGTTCTAGTTTCGGGGGAAAGCTGAACGCTCAAAGTGGGAGGGGAGAATTCATATGCTTCGCACTTAGGATTCCAAGTTGGCCATGGCGATGGCCATTACTAAGATTCAGAAGCTGTGGAGCAGCCTTCGCCGCAAGTGGAGTAACTCCCCAAAATCGTCAAGGAACAAACAGCTGCAAGGCTTGAAAGATCTTATGGTGTCTCCCGTGTCACCCATTCCAGATGAGGCGG